AAGCCCTTCGGCTCTCCCCGGGCCCTCCCCCAGCCATGTCTGGGGGAAGTAGGGGTTTCTCGGAGCTCTGAGTTAAAGAGCAGTGGCTTCACCTTGACTTCCACAAATCAGTATGCCCTCCATGGGCTACGACCTGCCTTATATCCAGGGAAAGCCCTTGCGGTTTCTTAGCCACACATCAGGGGTGTGGCATAGAGTGAAACTGGGGGGATGCCCCTGCACCCCCTGTGACCCACACCTACTCCCCACACCAGACACACACCCCAGCCCGCTCTGCACTACACACCCACCCTCCTCTTCCAGCCTCGGAGCCTGACAGGGGCAGGAGGTGTCCCTAAGGACCCCACAAACAAGGCAACCAGAGCACTTCTGGAGCAGAAAGCTTTTGAAACAGCATGAGAATAAAGGGAACGAGCACATCTTTATCTCCGCAGAGTGGAGGAGCCACTCCGTGTGAAGCACATCGTTTTATCTGACGCTATGTGACAGTACCACTGCGGATCAAAGGATGGGTACAGAGAGGGATGCTCACTAATGCCTTGTCTTCAGACAAGGGCTGTGCTGCTCTGGGCTGAGGATGTAACACCCCTAAGCAGAGACCTCTTGGGGTCTCCTGGCCCCTATGGGGACACGGGCAGCTCCTCTCCCCACGGGCTGTGTGCAGGGAGCTGTGCAAGCCCTCACCACGCTCCCCAGGGCACCCGCACACCGTGACCCCCCCGGGGCAGGCACCGGCCTCACCTGAAGATCTGTCCCCGCAGATGGCACATATGTGCTTGGTGAAGGAGGCCATCGTTCCTGAGGGATGTGCTGGCACTTTGAGGACTCCGTTGAGCCCTAGTGGGGGCTTAATGTCTTCTGTGCTGCTGACGGAGTTCATGGGCGAGTTGAGCTGTCAAGGCAGAATCACAGTGCTCAGTGGGGAGCTGGGGCACACGGACGTGGGGCTGAGCAGCCCCACAGCAGCACTGGCTGCGCACTCACGCATGGGGCAGGGGACAAGATGATTTGCAGTGACGGTTCGTGGGAGAGCTGCTGGCTGGGAGCAAGCACTCGTGTGGATGATGAAGGCCAGGACACGCGCGCTTTAGCTCTGTGATTTATAGATATCCTTTTAGCATTATCCCTCCAAAGGAAACCTTCACAGCAAATAAACAGATCCCAGATGCAACAGGGCCGGGCCTTCCAGAGCTGGCTCCGGA